CTGACCTCACTTCACCCTTGTGGGAAATACAAATGTATATGAACTCACGTTTGTCAACATCGGAGGTTTCTAGGTCATGAACTTTGGGATCAACTAAGGTCAAACCTTAGGTTGGCGTCCAAGTTCCACAAGACCTCTTTGTGCAACCGGCGTGAGCATGCCTACCTGTTCTGAACCAAATGTCAACGATGTTCATTTAAGGTCAGTTACCTTGTTTAACCGGTCAGGGTGACCAAAAACCCACGAGACGGCTCCTGTTTGACATTCAAATAGGAGTAAGGGGCTCTGCTAGGTGGTGATTTCCTAAAAACAAAATGTTGACCCTGGGTCATTTTAGGTAATTGACCTAATCCGACCTTAAGAACGTCATCAAAACATGTCTGTTGTTGCGGTCCTGTCATGGATATATTGGAAACGACCACCAGAAACTACTCATAAAACAAGCTCTAGATTAAAAAACCATGTCAGTGTTGACCTCATTCTGGCCTTTACACCTGACTTTAGGTCAATGGAATTTGTTGACATTTAAAATTTCATTAGCTTGTTTCCTAAGAAATTTTTCCAGAGAGGTATGGCTTCGTCAAACACTCCGCTGTCGCAACAGGTTGAGCAATTTCCTGGAAATGACCTTCGCGAACAGCCACGGCCCGATTTTGACCTGCCGTAGTTTAGCGGGCTTACAAGGTACAACTATTTTTTTGCGCCAAAAAGTCATTCTGAAATCCTTCTGTAAAAACGTTCATGGAGGGGGTCAATTTGACCCTCACTAAGGCATGAGTGTTCAAATCCACAACATATGCATGACACGTAGTAATTAAAAATCAAGTTGTATATAGGTGGCCGATGTTTTGATAAGCGGTGCTAAGAATCACAAAATCTTGAGAGATGTGCAACTCCAGGCCAAACGGATCAAACCTGGTTAGTTTTCCTATTTTGTGGAGCAGATTTGGGGTTCTCCTGGGTTAGGTGAATGGCGGGCGCTGGTACCATTTCCTCTCATCTAGAAGGGCTGGATCCGCCCCTCACCGGGCGGCGGTGTCGTTGAGCTGTACAGTCCGATAAAGTTCATCTGGTGCTATTTGCATAAGTGCCCGAAACAGAATTTCCCGTTGAACTGTCATTACGATCCCAAGATGGTGACCAAAGACACAAAGTTCCACCGTGCGAAACTACTGCCGAGCAGCGTGGGAAAGGCGTTGAGCAGCCGAAGTGGCAAGCGCGGCGTGTAGCGTTAGGACCGCGCGGAGGCTCCCCTTGAGAGGACCCCTGTGATCAGGTGGCCTGGATCGAAAGCGCAAGCGGAAGGTGACCGTTCTGGACATCACGACGGGCTGCCTACGGGTCCCCGCCGCGAAGCACCGCTGGAACCTGAGTGCTTTATCGCGCCCTGGGGTCGGATGAGGTTCAAGAGAACCCAAATGGGGCTCGTCTCGAATGGGGAACGGCGCTGAAATGGAGGCGCTGAGCGCCTTCATCCGGCGCTGAGATGGAGCCCTATAACCGGCATGATCCGGCATAACCGGCGCTGAGATGGAGCCCTCGGTGACAGTTCTCGGACAGTGTTGTAGAGGACCTCTTGTCATACGACGCCACCTACTGAGGGCGTCTCGTCTTAATAGCTTGACATTCAACCTCGTCTCGTCTTGTCATACGACGCCACCTTCTGAGAGCGTCTCATCGTAACTGGATAACATCCAACCTCGTCTCGTCGTGTCATACGACGCCACCTTCTGAGGGCGTCTCATTATAACTGCATAACATTCAACCTCGTCTCGTCTTGTCATACGACGCCATCTACTGAGAGCATCTCGCACACGCGGTCAGCATACTTCGACGCTAGGAAAAGCGTGGCATCGCCATCAACTCGACAACGTTGAGGTTTGCGCGACAAGCAGTGGACTTCTGTGGCTATCACGCTGCGGAGCATGGATACACAATCGTCGGTGGCAATCTACAGGCGATTTTTGATTTTCCGAGGCCGGAATGCGTGAGTGATTTATGATCGTGTATGGGCTTGGCGGATTAGCCCAATGGATTCTCACCGGATTTCGCCACAGCTGCTCGGTCCTTCCGTGAACTGATGAAGCAGCACATCGTCAGGGCTGGATGGTACAGCACAGGAAACGTACCAAACATCAATGAGCCGCGGCCTGCACCGAGGTTCTTCGACTCGTGCATACCTACAGCGCTTCAGATGAACGCCCCCGAACCCGTGTGCTGCAGTTTACACTGCAGCATCTGCACGGGGATCCTTAGAAGATGGTAGTGTTGCTCCCTTGTCTAGATCGTCAGAGTCTTGATGACATGAATCGTGATCATCGCTGTACGGTGATCGAGTTAAGGCACATGGCGTGCCTTGGAGCGAGCTGGAGATGCCCTGTTGTCATTTCTTCAAGTAGCTCTCGTACTTCAAGCAGCTCTCGGAAACTGAGAACCCGTGGCTACAGCGTCTGTGCGAGACGCTCGCATAGTACACCTTTACAGTCACTCGGCTGAAAAGAACGACCCATTGCATCTTAGACGCCCTACTTCGTGCTCACGTTTGCGACTCGAGGCCAAAGGACAAAGCCGCTAAGGTATCGGGCACCCTGCACGCGACCGTGGTCACTACTCCGATCATATCTTTTATCGACGCTTGGATGACCGCCAAAATATTATACCTAGCTTTTTTGACAAGGGGTTTTTGAAAAATACAAGAAATATCAAACTGTAAGCCAAGCAATGGGATGCACTTTTTAGTGTCTGAAATATATCAGAACAGTAAATCGTCCAAGACCGTATAATGAGCGGCCATTTCAGCAGATTTGAGACTTTTCTTATCCGAAACGGCATCACGAATCATTGATATCTCTCTCTCTCTCTCTCTCTCTCTCTCTCTCTCTCTCTCTCTCTCTCTCTCTCTCTCTCTCTCTCTCTCTCTCTCTCTCTCTCTCTCTCTCTCTCTCTCTCTCTCTCTCTCTCTCTCTCTCTCTCTCTCTCTCTATATATATATATATATATATGCATATATATATATATATATATATATATATATATATATATATATATATATATATGCATGTATATACATATATATATATATATATATATATATCATCTTAAAGGCTCTTGTGATCGGGACTGCTCGAAATTTTTCTCGAAGGTTTTCCTCATAATATGCTCCTGGTCACTTCACTGAGGAGTTCAGTGACACACTAGGTATCTGGTCAGACTCTATGATATGTACGTATGACGGTGGTTCGAGACATGAGAGTGTATCAGTGACTATGGGTTGCTTGCCAGAGACATTCTGTGCCTCACAACCATGCCCACCGAAAGAAGTGTGTAACGTTGGATTCTCGTATTTCTCAATTCATTGGCAAAAATATGTCTTCGGGGTTTGAGGTCTGAGCTAAGAAGCTAATGTCTCATTTTTGGAATGCTGTAAACAAAAGCGTATCGAGATTTTTCGATGGCAGGCCACCGTTGTTGTGTGGAAGTTAATTGATGTGAGCAACATTGGACCACGTTTTTGCCGTGCTCCATGTCACGTACGAGGGCAGTACCAACGGCGTTGTTTGATGCATCTGTGTAAAGCTTGCATGGTTTTGAAGTGTCTCGTTAAGCCGCTCCAGGAGCTTTGATGAGAGCGTCCAAAAGACTTTCAAACGTGGTTTGACTTGTGTCTCTTCAATAAAAGCGGTAGTTCTCCTTAATAGCTCCGTGAGGGGTTTTGCGATTTTAGCGAGACTTGGACTGAAGCGGTGACAATGCGAGCGCAGGCCAATGAAAAAACGAACACCTTTTACATCCGTGAGAAAATCCAGGCGTCTGAGCTCTTCTCCGTTAATAGGTTATGGTATTATAAGACTGGGCGAGACCATAGCACCTGAATATTTGTCATCCCGTTTCACAAACTCGTGTTGCGACTTCTTGGGCGGCCCCATGCAAGCCCTTCGCAAGCGTTCAAACAATTTGTCGATGTGGCTGAGATGCTCTTTAATGGTCATTTGAAGAAACAAAATAATTATATCATGAGCATACGTAGTTGTAAACCCATGTATGTCTGCTAACGCTGTGTTCAGGATCTAAGTAAGCATTCCAGAGTCTCGGAAACAGGCGACAGCAAATTTGTCGATAGTCAGCATCCACAGCAAGTCACCAATAACCACGTTTTAGGTCCAAACTGGTAAAACAATGACAGCCTCCAAGGGAGACAGGGATGTTAACGATGCGAAGGAAGGAATTTTTCACGGCCGTTGGGTTTAGTCTTTTGTAATTTGCACAGTATCTCTTTTCTTTGAACTTTTTTGTTAATTATAACCGGGGAACGAAACCAATAGCTTTGGCTGGATTGAACGATTCCATGCATTAAAAATTCAGCCATATGGACGTTTTCCAACCGCCTCTGGCTGAAAGAAACCTGCAGGGATTTTGTTTTATTGGGAGGGATGGTCCTTGGAATGAAGTTTCGGCGTTGCTAAGTTTGCAGTCCAATATACAAGCCACTTTTGGCAAATATGTTCGAGTGTCTATCCCGTAAGTCCAGAAACAGCTGCCTTTGATTGTTCGGAATGTGTTGGAGATCAGCATTTTGAATTTCTGAATTAAGAACCAGAGCTGCTGTTATGTTTCCAGAGTCATGCAACCAGTTTCATAAAGAGAGGATGGCGTACAATTGTGGCATACGAGTAACTTCTCAAGTTTTCACTCTGATTTCAGCTGCATCAAGTAAACAGAAATTATGCACTCCTACACCCGTAAAATTTATACTATTTACTATAAAATCTGAGGTAAGGAGTTACTCCGTGCTTCATCGAACATCAAATGGTTTTGCAAACGCAGCTCATTTGACCATGGGGTAGACATTCGCTCTGAAACTGAAGTAAAATAAACAATGCTCTGCCCCGTCGTAAAATCAGCAGTGCTGGCGATGAAGGTGCCGGCGTGCGGCAGTAAGAAAGCGGAGGAACAGGCCATTTATACCTAGTAGTGAGAATTTTATACCTTTTATTACCAACATGCAGTGCGAAATTGTTGAGCTATGAAGCGATGTCAACAAATCAAAATGACGCCGGAATGACTTCGGACAGCCAGGATAAGTAGAAACTTCTTGTTATGAAACTAGCTTCTGGTTTATTTTGAAGCTGTTCATTTCTTATTCTCCCAGGATTCCGACAATACATCTTGCATGTCAGACTTGCAAAGTATAGCCATCAGGCCAGCAAAACATGTTTTCTGGTTGCCATGTTTACCAGAGCGATTGGAAAGCGTTCATTTTTATTCGTACACCAGTGTTCGTCAGAAAATACATGGTTCCTCAGTAAGATGCGGAGCGCTACTCAACGGGCGTATTACGCCAGTTTCCTCTATAGGCTGTACAGGATTGATGCAGCATTGCAATGCGATGTAAGGTTGCGCAAGAGGTCCGAGCTATAATGCCGCTAATTGACACGCCTAATGCTGAGGGCGTAGGGGAATCGTGCTTGTTATTCCCGAGCCTGCCTCCACCCCAGCTCCTTCTGACAACATCTTGCTCGGCTTATGATTTATTCATTAATCAACCCTCCGCCTCGTCGGCCGGCCAAGCGTGGACACAATAATGCCCGCGGTCCCTTCTGACCGGCTCACGACAGCTGCGGTTCGTAACTAGCAGCGCTTCAGCCCGAACCAGCTCGCCGGCCCGCCGCGGTGCGTATCCACCAAACTATCGGCTGCGCGCCTGGCGCACAGCCAAGGCTAGAAGACGGATGCAGCGATGCGGTTATGGATCTTGTACGTTGTCCCACTAAGGCGAATGTGACGGGAACGGCTGAAGGAGTAGCGGCAAGTGGCCGACGGGTGACAGAGACCGGCAACAGACTTACTGCCACTCAGAGGTGTCAATTGTTGTAAGTTATTGGGGGGGGGGGGGCCGAACCGAAGGCCCGACAACCTAACCCCGCCCACACTTTTCTCGCAGGATTTAGTCCGCTTTTTATTAAACGAAATCTATGTTTTTAATCTTGAGATAACTTATAAAAGTATTTAATTTAAACAATACAGAAGTCACGCAGAGTTGGATTCAGGAAGCAGGCACTGAACGCACGCGTCTTTTCTGATCGGCACGTGAAGGCGCCCGTTTAGACGCCACCTTGCCACCAAGGGCGCCGATGGTGCTCTTCTATGGCGGTCAGAGGAGGCGGCGTGCATTAAGAAATCTCACCACACGATTTGTATTCTCATCACAAAAGAACACAAATCGACACGCGTGCTGTCATAGTCCGCGGGGACCGGCGGAGCTGCGTGTGTGACGCGACTCGCTAGGAAGTAGACAGGCTACGTGTTTGCACGCAGGCCGGCTGCATTTAAGGGCTTTTAGGAATGTGGCGATGGTTTGCAAGTGCTTTTGAACTGGGACTGTACACTTCCAGCTCGGTTTTCCGTGACTACTGCTGCTATGTTTTCGCAACACTTGATATGGAGAAAATTTTGAAGAGTTGCGGTAGCATAGTGAAGCGCCAAACCTCATAGAAGACCAAAAAATTGTCCCGCGCTTCTGGAGATGCTGTAACACCCTGCACTGTTGAGCACTGCTCACTGGTTACGCCCGGGCGTCTAGCATGCTGCTCTGATAGCGACACTTCCTGCCGACGCTCTGCCTGGCTCTCATTTTGTTGTACCACAAGTCTGCGAGTTAGCGGACTTTTCCTACGTGAGCGGTTGCTACTATAGCAGACTCTAGAGAGATTTGAGCGCCATTGTCAACATGGGTATCCGGGAAACTTTGACAAACAAATGCATATGTTGAGAGCGAAGCTTCGAGCACACCAGGCGACATATTCGTCGCCTTCGAAGATTTGTTTGTCTCCTACGAGATAGTGAAGCTTCAAATGCCTCTGTGTCCGACGTCAGGATAGTGTCAGTGATAGTTGTCCTCGAGACTGCTTTCGGGGCTGCAAGCAAAGTTCTGGTGAAACGCTCAGCCTCTTCGATCCTCATCTGGCGTCATTGATTATTGGCGTTTACTCTGACAGTGACCTGCAGCCCTCGGAGCTGTTGAGAGGACAGCTATTCTACAATGTCCTTCAGTGGACATCGGATTACCTGGGACGTCACCTGCGATAGACTAGTGAGGTTCACGGCATCAACGTTCGTGGAGAAATCACTGACTGAGAAGGAGAAGCTCGGTGGCAATGAAGGAGCATCATCAGCTTAATCGCTTTACTAAGCGTTCCAGTCTGCTGGTACTGGCAGCGGACGCTTCTTAAGTCTACAGTCTACAGTCTACTGGTACTGGCAGGGACGCTTCCAAATCCATTCCACTGATCGGAGGAGAATCTTCCCCACCCGATGATGATGCTCGAGGACAAGACTCGTCGCGCAAGAACGGGGGCTTCTGGAACGACAACGACAGTAACAACTACAACAACAGCAACAGCGGCAGCTGCCATTAGAATGTGATCAGTGCTGGCTGGTCATTCATTACACGCGTCGCTCTGTGAGATGCTGTCGAATGTAAAACCACTTCAGCGGAACTCTCCCTACCGTTTAAGCGTCGCCGCTACTACACGGTTCCCGCTGTCAACGAGTCCTTCCTTCACTCGCTTCCGTTCGCCAGCGAGTCACTTCTGCCTTTTCCCCACCGTCAAGCAGTCCAATTCTAACTCGTTCTTATTCGGTTCCTGACGTCATGGAATCCCCGTTCAGCCTCACTCCCTGGCATCATGAAATCTCTGTCTGTTCGATTTCTCTCTGCGTGTCGCCAGGGTATCTGCCGCCGAGGAGATCCAGGGGCCGGCCGAGTCCGTGCAGTTGGTCACCGCCTGCACATGCTGCCCCTATTTCGACATCCCCCGCTTCTTCGCGGAGGCCGACCGCGTGCTTGTGCCAGCTGGAATTCTTGCAATCTACAGCTTCACCGTGCCCAAGGTGTACCACAACGGCGTGTTCTCGACTGAGCTTACTAACATTTGGTTGCAGGTGAGTTGTAGTTGCCGGGGAGCCGTGCGCTGAACTTGGAGCTCTTACTACCTTGAACGTGAAGGCGAGTCACGGTCTGGCTGGTTCTTCGAATGTGTAGCGCAGCGAAGTCTTCCGTCCCCGTAGAATGAACTCGGTTTGCGAGGAAGCGTTGTAATTTCCTGGCGCGTGTGCAGCGCGAAGTCTGAGAACTCACGTGGAGTAGGAAGTCTTATAGCACCATTGTCTGGTTCTGGGAGTCGTCCGATCTTTTGAGTGTGTGGTGTTGTGTGTGTGTGTGTGTGTGTGTGTGTGTGTGTGTGTGTTGTGTGTGTGTGTGTGTGTGTGTGTGTGTGTGTGTGTGTGTGTGTGTGTGCGTGTGTGTGTGTGTGTGTGTGTGTGTGTGTGTGTGTGTGTGTGTGCGTGTGCGTGTGCGTGTGCGTGTGTGTGTGCGTGTGCCTGTGCGTGGGCGTGTGGGTGTGGGTGTGGTTGTGGGTGTGGGTGGGTGGGTGGGTGGGTGGGTGTGGGTGTGGGTGTGTTGTGATCTGCCGTGTTGTGTACGACAGGCTTACAAGGTATTTGCCTGCGGCTGGAGCCCCGTTCGGAAGGATGTGGAGGACGGGTACAGGGACCCACGCTTCCGGCTCCCCTTCCCGGGCGAAGTCAGGTGGGTCTCGGCCGTCCGCCGGCTAACAGCCCCATGAGGGTCGGCGGGATGCATCGTGTGCCAGCGCCAGCACGAGCGGGGCGCCGCCGGGTCGGGGTAGTGCTGCCCTGTGTGGGATGGTGCCAAAGTGAACCGCAATGTGGGACCGTCGCGGTGGTGCACAGATGTCACGTGTCATTTCGGATCTGTGTAGTACACGTGACCAGCCAATGAACACGATGAACTCTCCAAAGCAGTGCTAAAGCTGCATGAGGATGTTTGCGTGTTTATGTGTGGGTATTTTCTTGCTTTTGGTGAAGCGTGCTCAGGTACGCACATTTTGATTTGCTTTGAAGCAATCATTGGAGCAAAATCCATCCACCCAAATTATATCTTGCCTTATGCTTAAAATCGTCCATATTCCAATTTTCCAAGAAACATGTGCAGTCATAAAGGATACCTTTGGGTTTCCTGATTACCTTGCCTGAGACTGTTCGTGTCAGGTGTGGCAGCTGTGGTGTATTGATTATGTCATGCAAGATAACCTAACCTATCCGCTATGTACAACGGAGGCAGAACAAAAGAGAGAACAGGGCGTTTGCACCGCACGCGCGACGTGAAACCCACACAGATTTGGAACACACGACAGTGGAACCCACCAGATCAATCTATGAGTTGGCGTCCCTCATTGGCGCCCTCACTTTCCGTAACTGTGCCGGTCCTCTGATAGGCAATATAAGTAGGTAATGCCTATATGTAGGATAAGTAATACCCATATGTAGAAAAGGTAATACCTAATAATAGGATAGGTAATGCTACTCGCGAAAAATGATGTTGAATTACAACTCCGTATTCGCGGTACACTGCATGAATGTCCCTGCTGGCGGGCAATACGGTTTCATATTTTAACCAGCAATGTTGGTGGTTAAAGTAAAGTTTGTTTGGCATGCAGTCTCGCTGAGATTGCCCCTGCGGATCATGAGAACACAGACACATCCTGTCCTGGATGCGCCTGCTTCCTTGTCAGGTATACGGACATTGTGGCTGCTAAAGACCACTCTGAGGCTGGCCAGCCTCAGAGTGTATTTATGACGGCAATTTCTGCTGAGGATGTCACGACACTGAAGTATTAACGGCCACCTGAGCGGACGCAGCCACTGGTTATCTACTTGTAAATTAAATTTCACGTAGCGGGTCTCTACTTGTATCGTAATGTTCGACGCCGTGAAGAAAGTTACGAAAGTGACGGCTTAAGTTCCTCGTGTATTACGTTGTTGCATTATGCTCTGTCTAGTGTTGAGTGGTCTCTCCATGTGTCGATTCTCTCTCCTACCACCTCTTCGGATCCAGATTTCTCCCTCCACCACCGCGACCCACGCGTCTTTTCCCACGGCTTCGCCTGCGTCCTCTAAGGTCACCGGGCTCAGCATCCCACGTCTGGCCGGCTCTCTGACCCCGCCCTGCCGCCGTGACCCCGCACCGCGCGGCCGACGCACCCTGACTCTGACCCTGACCGCGGCCGCAGGGACGAGGGCCACTACCAGGATCAAACGCTGACGTTGGACGGCGTGCTGGCCTACATCAAGACCTTTGGTTGTTATCAGAAAATGGTGCGCCGCTGCGGTGCCAAGCGGGGCGAGGCCTTGCTTCAGCAGACAAAGGAACGGTGAGCGGTGTCTTGCTGCAGCAGACAAAGGAACGGTGAGCGGTGTCTTGCTGCAGCAGACAAAGGAACGGTGGGCGGTGTCTTGCTGCAGCAGACAAAGGAACGGTGGGCGGTGTCTTGCTGCAGCAGACAAAGGAACGGTGGGCGGTGTCTTGCTGCAGCAGACAAAAGAACGGTGGGAGGTGTCTTGCTGCAGCAGATCCAGATCCAGATCCAGTTCAGGTCCACAGTAGAACGGTGGACGGTGTCTTGCTGCGGCAGACCAAGGAACGGTGAGTGGCGTCTTGCTGCGGCAGACCAAGGAACGGTGGGCGGTGTCTTGCTGCGGCAGACCAAGGAACGGTGGGCGGTGTCTTGCTGCGGCAGACAAGGGAACGATGAGTGGCGTCTTGCTGCAGCAGACAAAGGAACGGTGGGCGGTGTCTTGCTGCAGCAGACAAGGGAACGATGAATGGCGTCTTGCTGCGGCAGACCAAGGAACGGTGAGTGGCTGGCGGCCAGCGGAGCGATATTGCTGAAATCCTCGATAATCCGCGAAGGGAATGCACGCCCGAGGATGGATTCCCGGGATTCGAGCTCATGCAAGCAACGTTTCTTGTATAAGCCTTGGCCGACACCATCGGATTGTGCAGACCAAGGTCAATCGAGATTACCAACGCAGCTGGACTGTCACAATAGTTCCACCAGTACCAGCCGAACTTGTCCAGAAGAAGGTCATGCTGTCAAAGGTCATTAAAGGTGTCAGCTGCAACAAGTGACGTCACCATGCCCCTGCCGCTGTTGCCAAAAGTGAAAGAGACAGGGGTAAGGAAGTTAATGGGATCCCTGGTGTCGTTCTTATGTAGTTCTGGTGGCCGCTTCCCACTGATTGCGAACGTCACAGTCACCGATACAGCACATTACATGTCGAAGCAGGTTGAGGCCCAAAACTGGAAATAGCATGCTCAGAGTCTGGATGGTGATCCAGATCCAGATCCAGATCCAGATCCAGATCCAGTTCAGGCCCACAAGCATGGGACGTGCCTGTGCGTTGCAGCGTCGAAGGCGCCTCTAGCAAAGGGTCGGGGCGCAGTGTGAACGCACCAACATACATGCGTGGTGGGCGTGGCGATAGCGGCTTTCTGCTGTCGCCCTGCGCCAGCGTGCTCGCCGCGCCAAAGTCGACAGACGCCAAGAAACGAGTCAGTCGGTTGGCCTTATTCAGATATGTGGCAGCTGCACTGGTCGCCCTCAGTTTTGCCTTCTCCGATGAGATGAGGAACTGTCGGATGTGCTTCAAGGCGTTGGGTCGCGCATTCGCAAAGAGGATCGCACGGTTGTAGCATTTGTGCAAGTACAACTACCACGAGTCGCAGTGAAAAGAGAACCCGCGTTTGAGACCCTTCTTCACTGCGTTCCAACGCCCCTAGAACTTTAATTTAATGTACCCACATGGTGTGCCACCTCGATCGGTCCGTACCTGGCCTCCAACTTTCGTAGCCTCCCTCACTGCGTCGTCTTCTAGTCATGGACTCGGTCGGTGCTTCAGCTTGATGGTTGGCTTCGCCATGTTCTGGTTCATGGTGCGGTGCCCTACCGCCAGGAAGTTTTTCCTTTTTTGTTTTTGTTTTTTGGTGATTTTATCAGCTTGGTCGAACTGCTTCCAGTCTGCCTTAAGCAGGGTAGGGCAAGTGCTTCGACGCTGAGTGCGTCCTGGTCCTCGCGCCGCGTGGACCGCGTCATGATGTGTTCAGGGGCGCGTCATTATGTGTTCAGGGGCGCGTCATGATGTGTTCAGGGGCGCGGCAACTTTGATGTCGGCGACCGCCGCAGTGATGGGGTTCATCAAAGTGGTCGTTGATGTTCCAGTCAGTCATGTCCGTGTCAGACGCCGGGGCTGGTCTGCTAGGGATCAGGTGATCAGTGAGTGATGGGTAGTCTGGCTGGTGATCCACGGAGCCACGGAGCCACGGGGCTACGCGTGTAGAATTGGCATCGGGTGTCCGCAGTTTGCCCACCCTCAGTGTGGTGCAATGGATAATGGTGAGTCATATTCGCGTCTTCTAACTCCGTCTATTGCGCCGGCTGATGGAGATGCAATAGATGGATGTAATCCGAAATTAATTGGTGCCGCCTCCACCTATAGAAGGTGTCTGCCACAAATTGTGCACCGGCGAAGGCTTTGCAAAATCAGTGATTGGTTACAAACCGGTTGTTTTGTCGTATTTCAAAGATGTTGTTTTTAAGAAACGCAATTATGCATCAATCATCAAATGAGGCTTCTTTCTCGAAATTTTGCAGAACTGTTTTCACAACAGGCCTTTAGTAGACTGACAAGTGTCGTATTCCACTTTGGTGCGATAAAACATTCGCCAGTTTAATTAAGTTGTTGAGGAGTGTGCTAGCTTGCAGTAGTTTAGCGCACCAGAGTCGATTCACGCTTGTGCGCCATGACTGCAGAGACGCGAGCCCACAAAACGAGAACCTGCGTCTGGGCCATGTGGTGTGAGGGTAACTTCACACTGGATGCGACTCTTTGGAAGTAACGCTACACTTGTCACGTAGGTATGCTTACTATGTGTTAGCCCCTTCTGAAATATGGAAGGAAGTGTTAGTGGACTTAGGTATGCTGTTGAGCGTTGAGGGTCAAATCAGTGAAGTTAATACCCCTCACACGCTCGTCGAGTGACTGCGGCTTTCTTTTAACACGCGCCCGGGTGGCCGGCTAGATGCCCTTCGCCCGGGTGGGGGTCAATTTGACTCTCCCGAGATCTCGGGAATTAAGAAAGCTAGAGATACCAAATTTACAGGGTGTGTTGACTTATACGTGAACTCAATTAGGTCAGAGTGTCAGGCTCCTAGATCATGACCTTCGGGTAAAAAAGGTCAAACAAGGTCAAGTTCCAGGTTGGTCTCCAAAGTGCCCCCAGAACCTAGATAACCGTTTCTAAGCAAAATGTCACATTCTCCTTCAAGGTCAGTGACCTTGTTTGACCTTTCGAAGATCAAAATGACCAAAATAATCGAAGTTTGCTTTGATTTTTTCCATTTGACTAAGCGACAAAGATTACGCTAGACGATATGTGCCTAAAACAAAATGTTGACCTGAGTCATTTGAGGTCAATGACCTATTCTGATCTCTAAGAAGTCTATGGAAGATGTGTAATGCGGTTCCGGCTATTAATAAACTCGAAATGACCACCAGAAACTATCCCATACAGCAAACCCTAGAGAAACAAAACAGGTTGGTTCTGACCATGGTGTGACCTTTATACCTGACCTTAGGTTAATTTTACTTGCTCATTCAACTTCTGTGCTGCCTAAGAAAGCATCTCAGAGATGTATGGCTTCGTCTAACACTCCGTTGTTGGACCAGATTGAGCGATTCCCTAGGAATTGCCTTCGCTGAAACCATGGCCTGACTTTGACCTGCCATAGGTCAGCGACCTTACGGGGCATATCTAAATTTTTACGATCAAGCGATCCGCTACTTAATTGTCTACAGCTATGCAAAATTTGTCGCGGGTACGCCTCGCCGTTCGGAAAACATTTGCAAAAACCTTCGGGGGTGGTCAATTTGACCTCCACCCGAGCGCGTGTTAAGAAAGTGACTGATCCATAGGGAGGGACCATGGACCATGCCCCCTACCTTTGGGCAGAAGGGATACCACAACCTCATGGTGAAGAGGCACCAAAATTCTTGTCTCATAGCCAGATGTCGTTGATTCTCAAGTGACACCAAATTCCAGGGATACAACAATATTGTGCCTCCCACCCTGACGAAATCCTGCCTTGTCCACTTGGGTTAGGGGGCACTAAAGCCTTAATTTTGGGGCAACATGACCTCTTCTTTAAAGAAAGGCTAGATCCCGGCCGGCCAGTTATGGGGCCAAAATATTGATATTAAACAGACCCCAAAATTCAGCGACATCCGTGCCTTTCACACTTACGGCATTCTCATCGGCCTGTTCCACGAAGTGCACCAAATGCCTTCATTTACGGGCATCATAACCTTTATTTGTTAGAGGCGCGCAATGGCAGGGACACTTCAAAGCAGGGGCGGTTCCAGAGGTGAAGGGAGTGGGGCCATGTCCCTCCTCCATGAGCTCCATGACGTTTGTGGTGTGACGGAGAGACAACAAAATTTCGTGGCGGAGGGGCACGAAAACTTCCATTTCGGAATCACATAACCTGTATTTGCACGAGGCACAAAATTGCAGTGGCATCACAAAGGGCCCGAAGTCTCTGATTTCAAGTCAACAAATTTCATGGACAGGCCAATTCTGTGCCGTGACCCTCGAAGAAACCTTGGATCGGCCTATTTGGCGAGGAAGCACAAAACCCGTTATTTTGGAAACCATAATCTTTCACAAGGCCCCTAGATCTTAATTTTCAACAGACAGCATATTCCAGGGCCCATTGCAGTGAATGGCCCTCCATTGACGGAACTCTGTATCGGCCCATTCGGCGAGGGGACGTCCAATCCCGCTTTTCGGGGCAGCATAATATTTCTAAGAGGTAGTATATTTAGACAGATGATTGAAAGGGACCCGAAAATTTCCTCTCAAGGCACTCCAAAATCCAGGGGCATCCAAATTCCTTTGCATTCCACCCTGATGAGACATCGGATTGGCTCATTAGGCGAATGGACACCAAAACCCTCTTTTCAGAAGATCATAAACTTTTTTAAGAAACACTGAATGACAAGGGGGCACGACCCGCGGCCCCGAAACCTTCATTTTAAAGTGATTAAAGTGACCTGGGGCACTAGAAATGACCTCAAAATGCATGAGGAACCGAGTTCCAAGCGCACTGCCATAAGGCGCCCAGGTGGCGGAGAAAAAAAAGCACGTCATGCCCCGTCCTTTAGGCCCCGAGGGTCCCGAAGGTCCCGAAGGACCTGTAGAGCCCCTTGGGACCCACGATCAGGCACACGATTGGAGGGTCTGAAGAGCAGGCCGGTGCCCTATGAAAGACCGTAACCCGAAAGCCGTATTCTCAATTATTAAACTACATCTTGCATTG